AAAGGTAATCCAGCTGCACAGGCAGAGAAATTCTGAAAAAAAATAAGAGTACTTGAGATAATAAGCTTTATCTATATTTTCGGGGGGGGGGGAGCTGGATGATCCTGTGGTAGATCTTTAGATATCGGAGCTGGTGAGCTGTATTTGCATCTGTACGATACCATATTAACCTGTGGGTGCATTATAAAAGTGATACTGAACTTATGTAGGTGGTAGGGTGCTGCCAACTGGTTGCCTTCCCTCTCGTCAATAGCTCAAACTTATGGTCAGCAGTAGATAGCCTTAGAAGCTTTGCCATAAATACAAATAATCCTGGCGATTACTTAAGACTTTTACTGTCTTATCTTAATGGGTTGTATTAATCTTTTATTGGAAATTCGTTCAAAATTTGAACTCGATATAACCCATTAAATAAATAAATTATATTACCTAATACTTACTGATATATGTTCTTCGTATTTTCGTGTGTGATCTGCTATAAATTGTACAGACTCCATTGCTCTTTCAAATTCAGGACAAAAATGTAATCTTCGAATTCCTGGAGGAGTCCTCTCCTGCTCTTGAACCATGGCTTGTTCTGACGTCATGGGAGTTCCCATGGGCGCAAGGGGACGAACACCAGGCCCATGTATTCTACAACCAGTAAAATTGAGTTCGGAGCCACATTCTGTGTCGTAGCTGTTTCTACGAGGAAACGGCTCCCCATGTGTATTGAAATCACGGAGCTCTGTTCCATTGCAGGTCCGAATCATGACCTTTCGGGAGTCTGAAGAATTGTCTGAAGGTCTCCTGATGAGAAGGAGTCGAGGTAGCATTTGCATGAAGACCCGCTTCACCCAGGGTTTCATGCGGTGGGTAGATCTCGTGCGAAAGTGCACATTAAGCACAACGACAGTGACGCAGATGGAAAGAGTGACGAGGATCATGGTGAAGAGCAGGTACTTGCCCAATAGAGGCACGGTCAGCGATGTGGGCGGGATGATTTCGGCAAGAAGAAGAAAAAACACGGTCAGAGCCAGCAAGATGGAGATGCTAAGAGTCACCTTCTCCCCGCTGTCCGAGGGCAAATAAAACACCAAGACGGTCAGAAAAGATATCCCCATGCACGGAATGATCAGGTTGACGGTGTAGAACAACGTCTTCCTTCGCATGCTGATGTTGAAAGTGATATCAATGTAAGGCTCCTCGCAACACGTGTAGTACTTTTCGTTGCGAATAGCCGGAACCTCAAGGACGTCCCATTCCACGCTCAGATAGAACTCACGTAAGTCTATTCCTATCTCAACCCTGTTAGTTCCTGGAATTTCTTCTTTATGACGAAGGTCCACCTTTTGGCGAAACAAAAGTACAATTGAAACACATCTTGTCACAAAGAAGTAAACATCACAACTATTAATAAATAAATTTAGTGTTCCGAGAATTGTTTAATCTCGAATTCTAAGTTCAAGGGAGATCCAGTTCAATCTACGCTTTGATCAACGTGTGTTATTGGGTTATGCTAGCCTGGGTAATTGAAATTATATTTAATAGTCAGTTGTGTGTGTGTGTGTGTGTAGGCATAATTTAAACGGTTTTAAATTTAAGGGCATATTTAGTTAGCATTAATGTATCATTTCACCAGTCTGTTTAAAAACGTCATCATTATCTGAGGTATCGATCTTTAAAAGAAAAAATGTAATTATGTAGTAGAAATGAAATATAATTCCAATAAAAGGCAACGTGGTGTATTGGAAAATACATTAGTTACCAAAACAAACTGTTGGCTGAAGTTTTCGAATTAGGAAAGAAATTATGAGCACAGTCAAAATGTTCATACTTTAAACCCATCATACGTCCAAGATCCAAATTTCATCACGCAGGTTTGTTTATCGAAAGGAAAGTATTCTACGTCGATGATACAGGAACTCTTGTAAATTGCTGGAGGTTTCCATTCGATCAGACCCTTGTAGTTGACCTGTGCTTTAGTGGTCAGAGTCACTTCAAAGTTTCCGTCTGCACTAAAATATTAAATTGTAAAGGCAATTTTAAGAACATAAAATTTAAATTTACAATACACAGTTATTTAACAAGTATATTTGATTGTATATTCTATTGCATACTTATTACTGTATATATTTTGTTTGTTCTTGTTAACCAATAAAACGTTTTTTTCCTCGTTATCATTTTTATATATTTTTTGCAAATATGAGTTTAAACATATTGTCTTCCTAACTCATTTAAGTCCAGTCTTAAGGTTCAAGGCATTGCTGTCCCTAATTTTGAAAGTTTGACCAGAGGAAAGTCAACCAGCCAGCAGCAGCTGTTACTACAGGGAATTTGTTAGGATCTTCAAATCGAATAACGATAATCACTGTTACTTTTATAAGGTGTCAACAACTGAGAGAGCGGAATTGGTATGTTCAGCAGTAACACGTCTTGACCCCAAATTTTTTGATACAAAACCCGATGCACCAATACGCAACCACTAGGCCACGACCGACCCACTTGAAATATTAAAACTATACTGCTTTTATGCTTTTCGTGTTCCGCCGATATAGGCGATCTCTCTCTATCTCTCAGATAGACTTCTCCATTTCTTTGGCTAAAGACTTTGTCTTGAGAAAACAACAGTTTGAGAGAAATATTTCTGCAGCTTATAATGTGGAGAGATCTATTAAACTATTTTTGATTCGTTTTTTTCAACTTCATCATAAATGTTCGCATTTCTCGTTTTCTACCTAAATCGATCCTACCAAGACGATCCTTTAAATTAGAACCTAGATCGAGTTCAAGACTGCTTAACACATTCATGTTTCTTTCCATATTTGTCGATTTTACTGTTTGACAAATAACTTTCTTAGCATTTATCACATCGATTTGTAGCGCCTCTACTGATATACTGTTGTTTACATTATTATTAAAATTCAGTTATTTCGAAATTTCATAGGGCAACTAAAGGATGCCAAAATATCTAAATGAAGAGTTTAGAGATAATTATAAATAAACAAGATAACGAATATACTCTGAGTTAGAAACCTGTTTTATTGAGTTTAATTCTTTTTCTTTATTAGCCTCAAATAAAGGGGGGGGGACAATCTACCAATATAGTGTGACAAAGGTCCACATTTACTTTGAACACTCTTAAAAGACTTACTTGTTATGCAAAACAATGTCGGTCTCCAGACGTTCACATTTATATTTGAACACTCTTAAAAGACTTGTTATACAAAACAATGTCGGGTTCCCAGACGTTCACATTTATATTTGAACACTCTTAAAAAACTTGTTATACAAAACAATTTCAGGTCTCCAGACGTTCACATTTATTTTTGAACACTCTTAAAAGACTTACTTGTTATATAAAACAATGTCGGGTCTCCAGATGTGATCAGAAGGCACGTGCAACATGTCTACCCCTCCATACTCTCTCGGATCCCATTTGAGTTTGTAGTCTTCCCAGTACTGGAACATAAGTATTTTGGATGCAATAAGATCCAATTAAACCAATCAATATAACTTTTTTAAACTGTTTTCTTTTTTAGTCTATCATGTATTGTGCCACAGTAATATTATACGTTTTGCTGTGTTTCTAAATCATCTCCTGTGCCACAGTAATTTTCTTAAACTGCACACTATTTTTTGCTGATATCTGTCTATGTTATACTGTACTGCATTATTTTCCGTACTGTACAGACTGTTTTCTGTAATACCGTAACATTTCTATCTGCTCTTGACTTGTTCTTGCTTCTTTGCTCTGCTGAATTGTACTTTATGATAACATCAAAAGCTATAAACAAAGTACACCTTAATCAGGAAAAAAAACGAGTTCATTGTTTCTGCCGGAAAAAAAGGAGTTTCGTCAGAAAGTTAGCTCCGGGGATAAAACAGCTCTTTAAAGCTAATAAAGTTTGTGAGAGCTGTAAAAGTAATACTAAATTTAGAACAAGCACTGTATGCAGCGGGTGTTTCTTAGAGTTTCAATCTAACGCTTTTTTTTGTTATTTACTTTAATACTTCTGAAAGTTAGAACTTACAATTTTAACGTCTTTTGTCGATAACTGAGATCGAAAAGATGACCTGGTGGTTAGGACACTCGACTAGTAACCTGCGGGTCCGGGTCACGGGATTGAAACCCGTCACCGAACATGCTCGTACTTTCAGCCGTGGGAGTGTTATAATGTGACTGTCAATCCTATTATTTATTAGCAAGTAGCATCCAAAAAGTGGACGGTGGGTGTTGTTCACCAGCTGCCTTCCCTCTAGTCTATTACTTTATAATTAGGGACGGCTAGCAAAGGTAGTTTCCCTAGTTGCTTTTCGCGAGTTTCAACAAGCAAACAATTACTCCGCTATTATGGCACACATAGGCAGATACTGCAAATGAGAAAGGAACTATCGAGTAGAGCCTGGCATGGATTGGTGGTTAGGGCGCTCGACTCCCAATCTGAGGGTCACGAGTTCAAATCCACTTCACCGAATACGCTCGCCCTTGCACTCATGGGACGTTGTAATGGTAGGGTCAATCCCACTATTCATTGGTAAAAGAGTAGCCCAAGACTTGGCAGTCGGTGGTGTTGACTAGTTGCCTTCCCTCTGGTCTATAACTGTTAAATTGGGACGGCTAGCGCACATAGCTCTGGTGTAGCTTTGAGTGAAATTCAAAACAAACCAAACTATCAAGTAAATCCGGGGAAGAATGAGGTCACATTCCCAAACACATTAAAATGTTATATTTGGCATCCAAGAAAAACAAAGCAGTATAATTACCTTTATAGGCAAGATTACTATCAATTAATGAACTGGATAATAACATAATTTTGCGCCTTAGGAATAGCTCAGATTTGTCAAGCTTTTAATTTATTACGTGATAATTCTAAAACGTAATATCGCATTAAAGTCTTAGGCGATAAATGTATGAATTATATTATTTCTTTTAATATTTCTGTGAAACTGTTAATTTGACTTTATAGATAATACTTACATAAAATGCGGGTAGTTTTAAATATATGGATGGAAGCTATGATAAAAGATTTGTTTGTTTTAGAATTTTCGCGTTCGTTCCTATTATAATGTACCTACGGCTCCAAAGCGCGGAGTTTGTTTTTACAACAAATGTAAACCATCGGATTCGCAACCAGAGCATACTAACCACCAGGTGATGAAAAATGTTTATCAATACAATCTGGATGAATTGATAAATATTAACGAAAGTTTTTAATTTTAATTTTTAAGTACTGAAGA